GTCCAAAGGAAAGCGAGATTTCAAGGCATCACTTAGAGCCAACTGTGGCCCGAACGCCATCCAGTCATTTGACCGACAATGTTGCTGTAACACTTTCCTGGCAATGATGGCTTATGACCGAGAGCTGTGAAGCAATAGCTATGAGGCTAGTTGGCACGTTCAAACAGATATTGCGGTAAGCTTAACCGTGTCTTGTCCTGCTGTTCATCAAGGCTTCAGATACATTAGATAATAGTCCATCTAGAAGTATATATTTAGCAGGATTTGGAGCAGATAGTGTAGCCTACATCTAACTGGATCAATCCAAAATTCAATAATAGAGTTTGCGGTTCTGTACAATAAGTGCTGACTGATCAAAAACACTGCATTGCTGGGTCAAGGAATTACTAGTCACAAAGCGGTGTTCAGTCAGTTCATCCAGCGTCTAAAGAGGCTGCAGCAGCTCTGATAGCAACAGGTCAAGTCTTTTGAGCCATGCAGTAAAGCACTTTATATAAGCATAATAATAGCAGGGAACAAAGGGTAGCTACTATAGATTAGAGTTTAGAGGAACGTTTAGATTAGAGCATTTATTTTATTTTAGTTGCTTGTATAGCGCCGTCAATTTATGCAGCACTTTACATATATTTTGTACATTCACATCAGTCCCTAACCCTCATAGGGTGTACAATCTAAAGTCCCTAACTCACATTCATACATACACATACTAGGGCTAACGTAGAAAAGAGACAATTTACCTAACAGCATGTCTTTGGAGTGTGGGAGGAAACCAGAGTACTCGGACGAAACCCACGCAGGCACAGGGACAACATGCAAACTTCAGGCAGATGGTGCCATGGTTGGGATTCGAACCAACGACCCGAGTACTGCTAAGCGGAAGTGCTAACCATTTAGCCACTGTGCAGCCCATATATATGTATGATGGGGCAAGGCATTAGCGCTATAGAAAAGTCGCTGACAGTTCATTCTACCCATCAGACTGCTTCACTGCAGGTAAAAGTCCACACTCAGTCTCATAGGGTATGTCTGAAGGCTCTCACCACTCTGATGGCTAGTGTTGTGTCCCCTTCAGGGCTGAATCCGCACCCTCACAAGATATCCTTGGTAATGGTTACTGCTCGCCTCTATGCTCCTCACTGAGATCCACGTACTTTCGTTAAAGCGGGGTATTCTGCCATTCAGTGGCGGTAGAGCGGGCAGCTGATGGTCACAACACCAGTGAGGACGGGGCCTGCTGCTCGTTGACACTGCCTACATCAATGCATTTCACCCATGTGACCATGAGCTTCGTTGGGACGTGCAATCCTCCAGCCTCTTACAGGGTAGTTTGCCTTTCAGCCTAAGTCTGCAGCTTCATCAAAACAGTTCCTGCGAATCCTCAAACTATCCAACTGGTATACCCTTTATAAGGGATCTCGGGTGGTGACCGGAGCCATGGAGGAGTGTATTGGCTGCCTTTTTTTTTCCTGAAGGTTTTTGTCATAAGTCTGTTATTTTCGATCCTAATTGAGAGGTCTAAAAATGATCTATCTTGCATCCACTACATAGGTTAATTTTATGTTACGAGTTTTATGTCCAAGTTCCTCCATGAACATCTTTAGATCATAAACTGAGCCATGCCATATCATAAGCACATCATCGATGTACATCAGCCATGGGCCCGTGTGACTGAGGTACATTGATGAGGCATACACAACGTCCACCTCCCACCACCTCAGGTGAAAGCAGGCATACGTGAGGAACGTGGAGCATAGAGGCTAGTGGTAACCATTACGAAGGATATCTTGTTTGGGAGTGGAATAGAGCGGATTCAGCCTTGAAGGGAACTTGATAGTAGCATCAGGGTGGTGAGAACCTTCAGGCATACCCTGTGAGACAGAGTGTAGAATTTTACCTGCTACGGCAGTGAGCAGTCTGATGGGTTGGATGGACTGAACACCGCTTTGTGACTAGTAATTCCTTGACCCAGCAATGCAGTATTTTTGATCAGTCAGCACTTACTGTACAGAACTGCAAGGTCTATTATTGAATTTGGATTAATCTAATTAGATGTAGGCTACAATATCTGTTCCAAATCCTGCTAAATATATACATCTAGATGGACTGTTGGACTGTTATCTAATGTATCTGAAGCCTTGAATACATAAAAAACTTCCAATGCACTGTTCCAAATTATTACGCACAGTAAGTTTCAAAACACTTTATAGGTTGTAGAGAACTGAAAATTGTCATTTGTTGTGTTTGCAGCATATTTACTGAAATCAAAAGCTATTTCAATCAAACTTTTAACAACATTTTAACTTTTTAAACATTTTAACAGGTCATGTTACATTGTAACATAGGACTCCTTATTTAATAGCAGCTTCACAAGTCTTGCATCCATTGAACTTGTGAGTTTTTGGACAGTTTCTGCTTGAATTTGTTTGTAAGATGTCAGAATAGCCTCCCAGAGCTGCTGTTTGGATGTAAACTTCCTCCCACCCTCATAGATCTTTTGCTTGAGGATGCTCCAAAGGTTCTCAATAGGATTGAGGTCAGGGGAGGATGGAGGCCACACATGAGTTTCTCTCCTTTTATTCCCATAACAGCCATTGATGCAGAGGTATTCTTTGCAGCATGAGATGGTGCATTGTCATGCATGAAGATGATTTTATTACGGAAGCATAGTTCTTCCTTCTGTACCAGGGAAGAAAGTGGTCAGTCATAAACTCCACATACTTTGTAGAGGTTATCTTTACACCTTCAGGGGCTCTAAAGGGGCCGACAAGCTCTGTTCCCATGATTCCGGCCCAAAACATGACTCCACCACCACCTTGCTGACGTCGCAGTCTTGTTGGAACAGGGTGGCCGTCCACCAACCATCCTCTACTCTATCCATCTGGACCATCCAGGGTTGCAGGGCACTCATCAGTGAACAGGACTGTTTGAAAATTAGTCTTCATGTATTTTTCTGCCCAATGTAGCCGTTTCTGCTTGTGAGCATTGGTTAGTGGTGGCCGAATAGAAGGTTTATGCACAGTTGCAAGACTCTGGAGGACTCTACACCTTGATGTCCGTGGGACTCCAGAGGCACCAGCAGCTTCAAATATCTGTTTGCTGCTATGTAATGGTATTTTAGCAGCTGCTCTCTTGATCTGATGCATGGATCTGGCAGAAATCTTCCTCAATGTGTATTTATCTGCACGAACCCGTCTGTGCTCTGAATCAGCCACAAATCTCTTAATAGTGCGATGATCACGCTTAAGTTTTCGTGAAATATCTAATGTTTTCATACCTCATCCAAGGCATTGAACTATTTCACTCTTTTCGGCAGCAGAGAGATCCTTTTTCTTCCCCATATTGCTTGAAAATGGTGCTCTGCTTAATAATGTGGAACACCGTCCTTTAGTAGTTTTTCCTTAAATTGGGCTCACCGGCCAATCTAATTATCACAGGTGTCCGAGATTGTTTTCAGTGATCAAAAGAGCCCTGACACACAATGCCATCCATGAGTTAAACTGAAAAACAAAATATTTCATCTTTGTGACACTTAAATAGAATTTGCATAATAATTTGGAACGCGGTGTACTTGTTTATTACTTTCTATAGTAAAAAACATAATATGGTGCCCAAAATAAAATATTTCATATATATAATTGCCTTAATGCAATCCAGTAAAATAAAAATCAAACAATGTCTGTGTTGAGTGAACAGTCCTCTTGATAAATAAAAAAAGAAAAACAACTTGTGCCGCCAAATGAATGAAACAACGGTGAATATTAATATATTATGCGCTCACCTCCTATTTAGCCTAATGTGAATTTAGGCTAAAATCACTTTTTGTCCTAAAAGGACAGATGAAAACTGCTCCTGCTCCAGATCTCCTACTCAGATGGTTCCATGTTGCAGTATGCTAATAATCCACCTGGTGTCTCTCCAAAGTGCTGCTCCCTATGATGGATATGGGTGGATGGATTCCTCACTATCACCTCCAGGGGTCTATTCCTCTTTATGTCCCCTCCAGAGCTCCACATACATGGTATCAAAAAGAAAATGAGAAATAGTGCCTTATCCTTTTAACCATTTTATTAATCCAATAAACAGTCCCACTCACATTAAGAACAATTAAAATGTGCCTGTGATAAATGCCTTTGTGTGTGCTCTGCACACTTCCTATACTCGCCGTAAGCAAGCCGACAGAACGCGGTGGTGACATCAGAGCCCCTCCCCTACGCGTTACGCCACAGGGTCACGTGGCTTCATCAGGGGGATTTGATTGCAATCAAACCGCAACATTGTTGGTCAGATGACAGGATGGCGTTGGGCCATAGTCGTGTCTAAGTGAAGCCTTGAATTCTCTTTCCTTCAGAAGATAGTACATTCATCTAAAGCTGTCAGTCATATCTAGTGTGTGCATGGCAGTGTGGATGCATGTGTGCGATGGACCTGGGCTCTTGTAACACAAGGCGATAACTTTATCAGACTTTGTTTTAATGGAGATTGGAGTATCGTTTAGGTCAGCCAGACCAATTTATTGACCAAACCAATAAAAATGGCATTTTTTAGGATGGCTTTCCTGATGGTGAAAACAATGGACCATGCCGGTATGATGTGAGTTGAGACAACCACTTGTAGTCTCCATCATAAGCACAGCAGGGACTCCACGTTGTCACCCTATAACTGGAATTGTCTAAACAAGAATCTTCATGGCAGGATCACCAGGGATTATTTAAATGAAAGCTACAGATTTTAAACCGGATTAAAGATGACTTTTGAGATGAAAGCTTTTAAAGATTGGGTTCACAGCTGCTTTACAAGTTCCATTCATTAGCTGTGGTATTGCGAATCAACAGCAATTAAGGGCTAGGCTTAGAATTATTTTTTTTCCACTTGTGTGACACACAAACAACCCTAATTTACAAGTGCTAAATATAGCCCAGGAATATATTAGATTTGTTTGTAGTACTTTTATTTTCAGTTTCCAAAAATTCATTTCAAAGTACTTTGTGTCCTCTCTTCAGATGATAGCTTTTCTCAGAATGGAAATGGTGTGATCACAAACAGCGAGCACCCACTCCCTGTGCAACGGAAGAAGCCGGGCCCCCGGGTGGACGGACAGAGCCCCTCAGAGCAGCATTCTGATGTAAATGTGGCCAAGATGGTCTCCATGATGCAGGACAGAGGAGCCAAACCCAACGCCAACCAAGTCAATGGAGAACTACCTTTGTACTCCATGCCCAACAAAGTATCTCCTGTGTATGCCAAGCGGCCTTTTGTCCGTCCCAGAGAAGGTGAGACTCGGCTTAGGGCTTTTGGAGAGATTCACTCTCTTTATTTGCTCCAATGACCATTGACACTCGGACAAATTTATTATGAATTGTGAGTTGTAACCAAAATAGGTGTAGAGGGGAGGTCTTCCACTAAGGACACCTCTTTGTGATAACTGTATAAAGCTAGCCATACACTGGTAGACTTTTTAGAATGAATGTTAGTACAAACATTCGTATGACAATTCACTTTACATTTGATGACTTGAAGAATGCCATTCAAAAGTATTTCACTGTGACCATAACTTGTAGAAAAGCTTATTGGCATCTCTCAGAGCAATCACCCCACATGTCTCCAGGGCCAGCACTAAGAAGAACCGGTCCCTCTGGTGTACACATGTAGAGAAAGCAAGAAAGAAGCACCACTGGAAGAACAGCCCAAGTGTATAGAGCAGGGTCTTTTCAAACAAAGGGCCAGTTTAATGTCCTTCACACTTTAGGGGGGCCGGAGTGAGGCCAGTGGGGGTAGAAAATGTCCAATGCCAAACATTAGTGAGAACAATCATGGCCTCAGGGTTGGTGGTCAGTAAAAGGAGGAGTAGTGCCACATCAATGGTATCAGTGGAAGAGATGGTGCCCCATAATTTGTGTCAGGTTTGAGGAATAGTGCCCCATCATTGACACTAGTGGAAGGAATAGTGCCCCATCATTAGTGTCAGGAATTATGCCCCACTGTTGGTCTCAGTTGGGAGTAGTGCCAGATAAAGGCTAGCAAAGGGCCACATTTGGCCCTCAGTCCACAGTTTGGAGACCACTTTACTAGTATAGAGGAATCAAAACTGCTTCAGCCCATTTCCTCCCAGACCATGTCTCTGACGTGTCTTATCCCACCTACAGGGCTTAGTCACGTGGATGAGGCGAAATGCATCAGAGATGTGGCCTGGCAGGAGCTGGGCTAAAGCCGTTTTGCTTCCTCTATACACTCAGGCTGTTTCTCCAGTGTGTGTTGGTTGCATTTTGGAGCAAATGGACTTTTTCGAGCAAAAACACAGTCACTGTTACAAAATTTGATCATTTGAGAAACATTTACCATTGTTCTCCTTCACATTTTCACATTACCATGGTTGAAAATGAAGGTTGATTTGACCCTCCTAACAATTAGAAAATAAAAAGAATGTCCTTTTTAAAATGAAAAATTTCAAAAAAATTATTTTTTTCTATGGCTGGCTTAAGATGTAATTTCCCTACGTTTAGGGAGATTTCCTCTCACTTCGAGTTGGGTCTACAGGACAGGGAGTAAAGGGAATTCTCCCCAATGGAACACAGATGGCAAACCATAAACTGGCAGAGGCCTACTCTATCCGACAATAATAAGAAAAAGTTTTAGGGTATTACTGTACTTTTTCTTACACCTTTTGCTGCCAGAGCCTTTTTTGCATTTTTTGCACACTAAAATAATAACTTTAGGCATGAAGGTTAGTTAAACCGCCAAATGCCAAACTTAATGACTTCTTCCAGAGCGAATTGGAGCCAGGAGTGAGCCAACCTTGACTCCAATCAGTGTGATGATATTGGATATGTTGCTGACAGCTGTCCTGCCCCTTAACAAAACACACACCTGTTTTGGGTTTACTGGTTTCAAGAAGCACTGTCTGATGTGAACCATGCCTCGCAGAAAAGAGCTCTCAGAAGACCTACGATCAAGAATTGTTGACTTGCATGAAGCTGGAAAGGGTTACAAAAGTATCTCCAAAAGCCTTGATGTTCATCGTGTCCACGGTAAGACAGACTGTCTACAAATGGAGAAAAGTTTAGCACTGTTGCTACTCTCTCCTAGGCATGGTCGTCCTGTAAAAAATGACTGCAAGAGCACAGCGCAGAATGCTGCACAAGGTAAAGAAGAATCCCAGAGTGTCAGCTAAAGACCTACAGAAATCTCTGGCACATGCTAACATTTTTGTTGACACATCTACAATAAAGGAAAACATTAAACAAGAATGGAGTACATGGGAGGACATCCACGGAGGAAGCCATTGCTGTCCAAAAAGAATATTGCAGTAAAAACACGTTTGAAGTTTTGCAAAAGAGCACCTGGATGTTCCACAGCACTACTGGCAAAATATACTGTGGACAGATGAAACCAAGATTGAGTTGTTTGGGAAGAACACACAGGGGGGGAACATATGTGTGGAGAAAAAAAGGCACAGCACACCAACATCAAAACCTTATCCCCACTGTAAAACATGGCGGAGGGGGGGAGCATCATGGTTTGGGGCTGCTTTGCTGCCTCGGGACCTGGTGACGGGATTGTTGTCTATGATGGGAAAATGAATTCCAGAGTTTATCAAGACATTTTGCAGGAAAAAAATGCTATGACCATCTGTCCGCCAACTGAAGCGCCGCAAGAGGATGGGGTGAGATGCAAACAGGACTCGATGACCCAAAAGCATACAAGTAATCTAAACAAAACAATGGCTTGCAACAGCACAGAATACGCATTCTGGATGTGGCCCCAGTCTATGCGACTGACCATTCAACCCGATTGAAATGCTGTGGCATGACCTTAAGAGAGTGATTCACACTAGACATCCACAAGAACTATTGCTACTAACTGACACTATCCTTTAAAAGGTGACTACTTGTGAGGCTATTATGAATGAGGTATTCAGTAAAAACTCCCGCCCACGTTTAATTTCTTGTCTGGTCTTTAGTCTAAGTGTCTAGGTGTCGCTTGGCACTTACACAAACAGTACAAACCCACTTAGTTGTGTTGCATTTTTCAATTATATAAATTAATTTCTATAAATCAATTTATAGTGCCGCGCTCCTATTTAAAATCCTTAATTTAGAATATTTATCACACTTATAAATATACTAAAAGTGCTTCTGTTGATACATAAATAATATTATAATCAAATAAATATCTGTGACTTATAAAAAATAAATTAAGATAATATTATAAATTAATTCAAGAATCATAATCTGTTGGTGAATACATATACACATGTGATCAATTTAATCAATATATTGTGCAAATACATAAGTGGCCTGTATATAATAATTAATAACAGTGCATAAATAAAGTTCTCTTATTAATATGTGCAAGTGTGCAGGTGCAATTCCTTTTCCTCCCTCCAGGTGCACGTGTGATCTCAATATGCGCTCACTTAATTATTTGCCCCAAAATAATATTTAGACAAATAGACTTGTTTTAAATCCTTGCCAGGATTGATGGGAGATAGTGCTCATAAGCAAGATGTTCCAGGATAATATAGATCTATTGGGCATCTCTCCTGTGCTCTCCTCTTTTTCCATATGCAGTGCTCCTGCATGAGTATAAACAGGCTCTATAGGTATCTCCTATTTCCCCTCCTGGGGACACCTCTCCTCGTATACTCCCTTATGCAACCAGTATGGGGAATATTTATACTCAAATGAAACAAAGAAGAAAGACCATGGTGCCTTATCCTTGTATGAAAATAGTGATTTATTGCTGCCAGGTGCGATGAATACACAGCAGTATATGACACTCATGTAATAACAGGTCAGCAGTGGATATCAAGATCTGCAGTAGATATATGTTATACTCTGCCTTGCCTACTTGTCTCTGTCTGCTCTTGCCTTCTGTTTCTTGTGGAATCCGCCGAACCTCTCCCGATTGCAACGCCGTGACGTCAGAGCCCCTCCGCCTACGCGTATTGTGTCACAGGGTCATGTGACTTCATCAGAGGAGGAAAATGATTGGACATCACCGACTGGCCTATGTGAATATATATACCTCGGCCGCCATTTTATTGAAGACCACCATGGGCGCGGCCATTTTCTAAGTGATATGTGGAGATATGATAATGTCAACCCCATTGTTTTCCATGTAGATATTCCACTTTATATCTGTCAGAACGTTGCTATTCTGATCAGCTGTATTCCATCTTCTAGTATGACAACATAGGTATTCCTTATGCAGTACCATACACCTATATCCTATCTATATTACTTAAATGGCTTACTTGGCTAACTTCATTGTATACTTAATCAATCTTTATTATCCTATTTAATCTTTAAAAATAAATATTTTAAAAATAGGAAAATAGAAATAAAAAATAAAAATAATAAAAAATAAAATTGAAAATGAATATAAATAATAAAATGAAAATTTAAAATTAAATTATAAATATAAAATAAAATTTAGTAAAATTAAATAATAAATAAATAAATAAAATATAGAAATAAATTAAAATATGAAATAAAAATAAAAAATAGTAATGTATAGAAAATCATAAACAGTAAAAATTTTAAATAAATATATAAAATAAAAATAAAAATATAAATTATAAATAAACTAAAAAAATAAAATATTAATTAAAACATTTAAAAACCCCATACATATGATTTTCTATCAGACCTTGATAATTAAATGTTTATTATGATTAAAATCTCTAAGAATCCTTATTCAGATGCCATATATTTAACCATTATCATAGAATGTTAACTTAACTTATAATTATATAATATAATTCCCATATTTACTAAATTTTATTTAGATAAACTCGCATATATTTTTATAAAAAATATATCTAAACAATTTTAATAAAAGATATTTTAAGATTATAGGTGAATATATTTTGGGCCTCAAGAATTAATTATATGTCATTCTCCACCTATAATCACTCATTTTATTACTAATGAAACATGTAAGGTTCACAACTCCTTGGTTTAACCCATTAGGAGCTAGACAAACCCATCTCAATAGATAATTTAGACATTTCTTTTGCTGATTTACCTTTATTAGGTTGTTTACCACGCCTCCAATTGATGTACATTTTATTTCTATACCCCAGAATATCTAGTTTACTGCTCCTCATTATTATAATATAAAATTAAATGCTGTGATAAATGATGATAATTATTATCCCTATTTGATTATATACGTTTCTTTTAATACGTTTCTCTTAGCATCCCTTTATTAAGTACGGCCAATATATATCAGGTTGCATGGAGCATTTTCATAGCATTAAGATAACCCC